CCCGCCCCCGCCGCTCGGAAGGGACGCGGGCGCCGGGCGCGTGACGCGGTGGGACCCTGCCCGACCCCGCCGCGAATGCCTCGTCCTTGGTTCCCAGGTGAGAGCCGCAGGGCAGGCTGGTTGGCTTCTGCTGCGTCGGACAGGATAGCGCCACTAGCGGGGAGGGAGGTGATGCTGGCATGCTGGCAGGAGTTGGGGGGGCAAGGTCACCAAGGAGCCCGGAGGTCACTCAAAGCCAAGGCCACAAGGTAGCAGGTAGGGCCAGAGAGCGGGGGCAGGAAAGGCTGACCCCAGGCTCACGAATTGTGGGGGTATGGGTTCTGGCATGGTCTTGGTGTCAAGTCTGGAGGCCCTGTGTCCACAGCTCTGCTCTGGCTGCCCCCGACCCTGGGGAACCAGGCTCAGGGTCCCCAAACCCTTACCCACCGCCCAACACAAGGCTGACCCAAGGGCTCAGGAACTGCTTGCCTGGCCCAGCATGACAGTAGACGGCCTTTACCTTTGGTTCCAGGACCCAGAGCAGGAGGAGGGTCATCTGGAAGTAAACCTAATTGGTGGACAGTCTTGACACCCAGGACAATTGATCGCAGCTTTCGGGGTGGGAGCCATTGGGAGAACACCATCTTGCTGGTGTGTCCTGCCTTCAGCAGCCCCTCCCCAGCCCCTCTCCCTCAGGTGGTCCTCAGGGGCCTGTACCTCTGCAAGAGGAAGGTCTGGCCAAGAAATCAGGACAAAGCATTGACAACTAGCAGCCTCTATTTATTGGGTAATTCCAGGTTCTTTTAAGATACAGCTCGTTGCTTTATTCAGGTATTTGTACAATCCAGCAATTGGGGGAGAAGACAGCAAGGCAGAGCAACAGGCACACCCTAGGGCAGTGGGCGGTAACTTTTGGTAAAGAGAAGTGGGGTTGAGAATGGTCTTTAATCTGGCGGTTCTGTGTACCTTTTCATCCTATATGTACAGTCCATACACCATCCACCAAGAATGCCTCCGGGTAAAGACACTTGGGAGGAGGAGCCTGAAGGAGGTGGAGCTCAGTAGAAGCAGACTGTGTGCAGGAAGGCCCTGCCACTCTTCTCCTCAAACTCCTGCAGCAGCTCGTCAATCTCATTCTCCATGTCTTCAGTGTGCTGGATCTGCAAAGAGCATAGCCTTGAGCAAGGGGCACCTCCCCTGCCCATGCCCAGAGCCAGACACTGGCAGGTTCCCCAGCACCAGGCCTCCAGGACAGAGCATCCTGACCCTAACTCTACCTAGTGGCGCCTTGTTGTGGAGGGGCCTCTGCACTGATCACATCAGAACCCTAGGCTGGGAGGAGCATAGAGCAGGTTCAGAAGTGGGGCAGGTTTGGGGACCCAGCCTGGTGCTTCAGCACACTCTTTGGCCAGTGAGTCCTCAACTTGCAAGACAAGAGGGCAAGGAAGGTACCTCCCCAAAGTCACTGAGCAGGGAAGCTGGTCGTGTTCCCAGTTGGGGCACACCTGAGACACCAAGAGCCTTGCTCCTGGCTGTGAGAATCACAAATGCAGGCATGGACTGCCAAAGGCACCCTAATGAAGAACCCCTTCCCTAAAGTGAGGCAGGCTGGCACCGGAGCACAGCTGGCCTGGCATGATGGCTGGTCTCCCTAGTCCCCTAGCTAGCCCCCATGACTCGGCTGACAATGTGGCCCAAGGAGAAGTTGCATGCACAACTTCTGGGACATGTCTTGCTCTTCAGCTTGCTCTTGCATACTGACCAGGTCATAAGCATAACTACTGGAGCTCCAGCAACCACAGTGGATCATAGGGCAGGCTGGGAATGGAGGCTGTGCCAAGCTGAGCATCCAGAGGGCAGGAACCTGGGTCCCACACAGCAAATGGACTCCCAGCCCAGTATCTACTGACCTCTCTTAGCTAAGCCATCATTTCCTACACACACAGCTCCAAAGGGCACAAGATAAGACCAGGCACACGGCTCTCCCTCTGGGAAGGTCCCATCATAGAGGCTGCACAAGCCATTGAGTGCTAGGAGAATACCCAGGGGTCACAGGAAAGGACAGATGTCTGGCCTGCCTGACAAGTCCAAAGGGTAGAGGACACAGGTTCCTGCCCATCTGCTGCAGAAGTACCTTGGGGGTGCACTTCTGACCCCACCCGAACCTGGAGTGCCATGGGTTCTGCTGGGCACTTAGGAACTAAGATCCAGCACAGGGGAGAGGTGAGGCACCCCATCTTCAGAAGGGCCTGCGTGCTGGGGGCTCTTGCTGGACACAGCTGTCTTCACATGCTTCTGTCAGATGAACCAGAACACCAGGGTGGGTGCTTCAGCCAAAGCAGCGTGGTTAGATCTCAGTTCTGCATGCCTGTTTTTGCTGACATTTCAGCACTGGCTGTAACTGGACCTGGAACTGAGCCACACAGCCATGGCGAGCCACGGGAAGCCCCTGCCCTGTCGTGGGCAGGAGGAGAGGGCCTTGCCTCTTCTTGGCAGGGACAGCTCAGACAGAAACTGGTACTTACACACTGGCAGAGCTCACAGATGAGGAAGGCTCCCAGGGTGGCCTCCTCATGGTTGTCTTGGATGTCCACATTGACCACGTGCACTGGCTGGCAGGTCTCCTGCTCTCTGGAGTTCAGATCTGGTTGGGACAGAGTGACACAGATGTCAGAGGTTCTCAACAGGAAGCAGGTGGCAGATGTGCTGGAGTACTGGGCCCTGCATTGGTCGGTCTCCTGAACTTGAGGGTTTGTACAACTGAGGATACAGCAGCCAGGCAGGCCCGGGGACTTTACCTGAGGAAGGCCATGATTCAAACAAAATGCAATCCAAGGCCTCCTCCTCCCCAGCCTGTCCTTACATTTCCGAGCCAGGCATCTTTTGCTTAGGTCAGCAGCCATGTGGGTGGTTTTGCTCTGGTGAACTGTACCATAAGGGCCACACACACCTGCCCTTACCCACTTTCCTGTTCCTTTCCTTGGTCACCCTGCCCATCACCACAGGGCTGTGCAGGTCAGTGGGGAAGCACCCACTGTCCCCTGCTATTACCTCAGAGCCCATAGCCTGGCCTGCCTCTGCAGGAGGAGCCAACAGTCAGCAACCCTGTGCCCAGGGCACAGCTCCCATGCATGCAGTGCCAACCTGGCTGGCAGGTGGCACACAGCCCTGCTTCTGGCTCTGCCCGTGGCCACAGGCCTTGCTCTCACCTTCCACCACCTGGTCGTAGACCCGCTCTTCACAGGTGAGGATCAGGTCAAACAGGTCCTTGCAGTTCTGGAACCTTTCTGGACGAGGCTTGATTCTCTTATTTCTGTCCAACATGTGTAAAATGCCATTCTGTGTATAGCTAGATGCTTGAGTTAAGGAGCTCTAGATAAAGCCTGCTCAACCTAAATGTGCCGGGGTTACAGCCCTTCCTGTTGTGGCCCCTAGGGTCAGCAGGGTACTAGAATGGGCTATACCAAAGCCATTAGTCCTAGAAGAGGCAGGGTCACCCCTGAGAGAGGGTCACTCTTGGAAGCCCCAAGCTCTGCAGCCCTGCACCAGCCAGCCCCATCATTCTGACCCAACCCTTGGGCAGAAGCAGAGGCCTATGCCTACCCCTTCCCGGGAGGCATTCCTCACTGTCACATGGAACCCCCTTTTGAGCTGTCCTTCAGCATTAGCTGAAGTGTTTTGGTGACTTTCTCCTCCTGCTCTAACCCCCATCCTAGAGTGCAATGCTTGTTCCCTCTGAAACTGGAGCCTCAGCAGAGGCAGCCCAACCAGTCCCAGGTGCAGCTCAGTCATGTCAGGAAAAACATCTGGAAACCCCTGGTTTCCAAAAGGAAGTTTCAGTAGCAGGAAGGCCTGGAAAACCCTTGACAGAATCAACAGGTGAGATGTCCAGGAGAAAGCAGCTACAATCCAAATGGAGACAGAGACAGCAAAGGCCTAACAAGGCCCAGGAAGTATGCAGCGCCCAGTTAAGCCCAAGGGGACGGTAAAGGAGTTGGACCCATAGCCCTCCCAGGTCCACCATGCTCGAGGTAGGGCGGTTCCAACCCCCCAATGGTGCCTGATTTCAGGGGTCTGCAGGGCAAGAACTTACCTACCCTATGGAGCCCTTGTTCTAAGGGCTCATCTGCACCACTGCATTGAGGGCAAGCACCTTGTTAATTATTTTAGCAAATTGACTATTCAGAAATTCTAGGGGTTCTGCTGCTGGTAGTGAAACCCAGGACTAGGTATGTGTTCTTCCACTGAGCTACACCTAGGCCCAAAGTTTAGGAATTCTGAGTGATACATTTAGTTATCAACTTATTTACACAAGCCCATAGCTTAAAACGTAATTCTTATCTCTGGAGAATAAAAACAGTTTTTATTTATTATTATTACTACTATTAGTAGTAGTAGTACTGGAGATTGAGCCCATGGGTGCTCTACCACTGTGCTACACTCCACACCCCTATTTTTTATTTTGGGATAGGTTTTGTTAAATTGCAGAGGCTGCCCTCAAACTAGTGATCCTACTGCCTCAGCGTCTAGAATCACTGGGATTACAGATGTGCACCACCACACCCAGCTAAAAATAGCTTTTAGTGTTGTAAGTGGTTGGGTTATGGTTATACCTCAGTGGTAGAGGGCCTGCCCTGCATGTCTGAGGCAACGGGCACAATTCTCAGCACCACATGTAAATAAATAAAATAAAGGTCCACTGGCTACTAAAAAAAAAAGTATAAGTGATCAATCTAAGCAGTTTAACTTCCAAAGACAGCTGACCATGACCTGCTAGGTGTTTCTGGTTCCGGACATCTTCAGCTGCTCCTGGACTGGGCTGTTGCCCTGGATCCAGATCTCTGATAGGCAATGCTGCCCAAGTAGCTCTGCTATTATACTTACACCCATTATTGCAGAACCAAAGCCATCAAAGGCTCTGAAGCAAGCCCCTGAAGGTATGTGGAAGGAAACCAGCTTGAGAAAGGCCCAGTGTGATTTCTAGGACATGGGCATAGGAGACAAGCCCACAGGAGGGACACAGGCAGGGCCCAGGTGTGTGGAGGCAGCTGTAGGGCAAGCTCCTCTTGCGCCTGGCCTCTACAGTCTTGCCACCTGGACAGCAGGGCTCTCTCTGGTGGGCTGCCCTGAGGCAGTGATGCTGTCGGCATGTTCCTCCACCAGGTCTGCAAGGTCTCCCAGGAGCCCTTACAGAATTTCCTTCCTCCTTAACCTATTGCCTAACTATTTACACAATATTTCATTGTGCGGCAACAAATGAAATTAAGATTCATGACGTTAAGGAGAAAATGTCTAGTTTAGGGGTCAAAGTGGAGGCCGCATTTATTTGATGGGAAAATTCAGCCAGCTCCTGGCAAATGGAGAGAGGCAAAGCTGAGGCGGATTCTGCAAGTCCTGTAGGATGCCTGGGAGGAGCCTAAGGAGCACATTTGCCCAAGTCTACCTTAAGCTCACTTCAGGTCCCACAGGAACAATAAGCGCAGGTAAGGAAGAAAAGGGTGTACAAGAACTGAGTGTAACCAAGACAGTTTGTTGTTGGAATAAAGGCCAAAGTGAGGCAGCTCTGACAAGGTTTCATGGAGAGATGCCCAATGAGCCAAGGGCCACCAGGGAACGCACCCTGTCAGCTACAAATCTGGGGAAGACAAGGTCTACACAGCTCTGAGGGTGAGCACTGACAATTGCAGGCACCTGTAATGGCAGACTCGCCACTAACCCCACCAAGACAAAAGCAGAGTCCAGCTGGCACCAGGGAGAGGGGTCACTAGCATGGCACTCCCCACCACTGGGTCCAGGGCCCTAGAGCACTCCAGGGCAGCAATCACAGGAGCACCCTGGTTGGAAAGGACATTCTGTAAGAAGCATCAAGCCCGTTGGCACCGAGCTTGAAATGAATACCTAGGTTCTTCTGCCTCAATCTGAGCCCAAGGCAGCCACACTACCAGAGCTGCACCCCCAACTCAGGCTAACACACTTCTAAGGAGTAAAACCACACCACTGGGCAGGAAAAATGGGTCCGGGGGCAGACACACAGGTTGAGGTCAGGGTGGGGCAGCCCGCTCTTCCAGCCCGTGCTGCATATGACCTGGTAACTGAAAGAGCTGCCACCTACCAACGCCTGGGCCTCAGTAAGGAAGGAAGGAACGGCCCCTGAAAGTGTGGGGCTGGCGCTCACCCAACATGGAGAGGGAAGACTCCTGACCAAGCCCTGGAAGCTTTAGGGAGGCTGAGGGAAGTCTGCCATAGCGTTTGACCCCAGTAGCTCAATCTAGATCACGGAGTGAGGTTCTGAAGGTTGGGAGCTGTGTGCTCTGGCCCTCCTCTGTCTGCAGAGGAGACAACAGGGACCATCATCCAGCTTTCTCCTGAACAGACAACACCTTACACTGTCCCTGGCAGCCTTCAGAGAGGACGCTGCCTGGCCTGGGAGGTTGTGGGAAGCAAGGCTCCCACTAGGTTCACTCTAAGGGCCCAAGACTTGAAATGTTATCTTGATAACAATAAATTCAGGATTATTTAAAAATTCTCTCAGGCCTTCACCAGAGAAACAAATCAAGCCTTCCAGTCCATGCCGAGCATGCACTCTTCAACACCTGTGCTCGGTAGAGACTAATGGTACAGTGAGGAGAGCCAGGGGACACCAAAGGTAGAACTGGAGCTCTTCAGGGGCTTTCCTCAAAAAAAAAAAGAAAGAAAGAAAATAAAAAACAAAAAGAAGAGCAGCAGCCTTAGGAGAGATTTCTTCAGCCCACAGGTCACAGGACTGCCAACATACTGCCATGCACCCCCTGGGTGCTCCAAGTCCATAGAACTAGAAGACAGGCTGACACGTCACAGGCCCGCTTCCAGGGGGAAGCACCCACCATCTGAATATTTGCTCTTCGGTTCTAATTCAACTTTAAAGCTGACATCAAACTTGGCCATAACCACCAGTGAAGCTAGAGGACTTAACACTTGAGCGTTTCACCACAGGGAAGCTGACTTCCAGTCACCCTGTTGGACATCAACTGTGGGCTCCTTGTGCTCAGCAGTTGCAAGCACCCATCGAATGGGAGTAGAACTGGCCACCCCAGAACCCACAAGGGGCTGACCTTCCAGCCTGTACTGAGTGGGGTACCTTATCAGAACACCTGCTCGAGACAGCCAGACCTGCAGGCCCACGCCGTCTAAGCAGATGAGATGTTCATGGTCTGCAGGTAAGACACCAGCCCTGAAACTCTGCTGTTGGCACCAGCACAGGACTCAGTCCAAGTTCTCAGCTGGGTCCAGTCACCTGCTGGCGCCTTGGAGGTTCATTCTGCCATGGCCACACTCAGAGCAGAAATCACCTACAGAGGAAGGCTGAAGGAGAGGAGAGCGCCAAGAACAAAGCAGGCAGGGAACCATTGCTCTGGCAGCGTCTCAACCGTCCTTGTAGCTGACCATTCCCCAAACTGTCACACTTAATCCAGGATTCTATTTTCTGGCGCAATAACAAATCCAATCTGAGTCTGCAGGTTTGCACAAGGAACCCACTTTGTGCATGTGCCTTCCCAACCAGGGACAAGTCAAAGAACCTGCAGTTCTGAATCTTATCATCACAACTTCAGCTTCGATCTAATTAAGATATAGGGGCTGGGGTTCAATGGTAGTGCACTTGCCTAGCATGTGTGAAGCACTGAGTTCGATTCTCAGTACCACAAATAAATAAAGATCAAAAAAAAAAAAAAAAGGCACAAAGTAGAATTCCTAAGTGGGAGCCCACTAGGAACTCCCCTGGGGGAAAGAATTCTCAAAAGCAGGACTCCACTACTATAAGTCATGTTTTAACAAAACTTGTGGGGCTCAGTGTCAACACCATCAGCCTGACTAGCCCTCATTAAACATAAACCCACAGGCTGGGGATATCACTCAGCTGGTAGGGTGCTTGCCTTGCATGCTCAAGGCACTGGGTTCAATCCCCAGCACCACCAAAAAAAAACCCCCACAAGCACTAGTCTCTGGCTCTTTGGACTCGAGGGGATTCTGCATGGGAACTCCATGTTAGTGAAATGGCCACATCATCAGCTCATGCATGCTCCCCGCAGGGCTGGCAACAGGAAGCAAAGCACTGTAGCCTCACCATCTTCCCAGAACAGCTGCAGACTGTGGGCCACAGTGGCTGCAGGAAGTGCAAACAGCATCACTGTCAGAACAAGGGTTTAATTCAGGTGGAAAAACAAAAACAAAAGTTAGGAAGATGACAGGCAGCACATTCATTCCAAGTATATGACCCATAGCTCTATAAAGCCTCTGTCAGCTGCCCTGGGCCCCGGGGGGAAGACGAGGGGATCCTACAGGCAAGCAGCAAAGGTACAGGGCAAGGCATCA